TGAACTGCTGATAAAGAAGCAGTCACTTATTTTATTTAAATTCTTAGATAAGAGAAAACACATCGTACATCAAAAATATGCATAACAAAGCAGGATCAGCAAATGTTCCAGTTTCAAAAGCATAATATTTAATATTATTATAAATGTATCAAAGAAATTGAAGAAAACTTGAACAAAAAAAACCACCATAGAACTTTCTACGAATCATTATGACTGCAACCAGTCCGAAGTGAAAATTATAAAAACTCAAATCCATAAATATCAAGAAAGGAGAATATTAAGTATGACTCAAGACTTCAGGTGGGCCATGCAGCAGAAATGTCTGCCATTTTCCCTCCCTCGAGGAAAGCATTGAAGAACCTTGTATTATAAGCATATGCAATAAAGTGTGTTTTCTCTGCATTCTTTTTTTGCACTCTTTTATTACAGGCCTACCCTTACATCGCTTCCGGCACACCACTATCGACATGTTCCATCAATAATGTTACTGCACGGCTTATATGTTACTGACCACAAGTTTAAAGGCCAAAGACCTGTATTTGTAGGAGGAGTTAGCGGCACTATAAAAGCCCACATACACATCTTCCCTTTGCCGTGCCTTTCAGTTCATCCCACCCACCTCCTTTAAATTCAATTTACGGGGGGAGGGCCCTCTTTTATTACAGGCCACTGCTTACATCGGTTTTGGGCACACAACTACCGACCTGTTACATCCATTATGTTATTACACAGCTTTTATGTTACCGACCACAAATAAATAAATATATAGATAGATAGATAGAATACGAAAAAAACTATCTGCACTCGTGGTCTTTCCACTGAGATTTTCACTTTGTGCCAAAATAGCACCTGTTTTTGCGTTGCTAAATCTTCACTCTCGCTGAGAACATGGGTACATGTTTAAATATATCTCAGAGATTATTGATGATACAACAAATCCCCTTTTATTTCAAATGTTTGGTATTTAGTACATTTCAATAAAATGTCTACCAATATGATCTAACTACTATTGCAAGCTTGTTATTAGAAGCATCCACAAGTCCACTAAAATATACCTTGGCTATGTGTACCGCACGATGGACCACTTTTCTTTATATATGCTCATTTTGACTGTGAATCCAGGATCATTTTCGTGCTGAATATTGCTGTACTTAAATGGTTACTCTAACCCTCTGCCCACCTGAATTTACGGTAAAACCTGAAAAATAAAGTTTTTACTCACCTGAAATCCAGCGATGCTCCCAGGGACTGATCTTCCGCGCCTCCTCCGAGGTCACAGGGGTCATGCGCAACATGGGTTGGAGGGGATATCAATCTTCAGATTATCATGTCACTCTGCATTGTGAAGTGGGCTGCCAATGTCACGTGTGCAGGGGGTGCAGCTAGCCCGCATCTCACAATTACCAAAATCTTAGTATGTGCAGTATTTCAAGCTGAAACACTATACATACTGACTTCTACCACTATGACCATGTCAAATCACTGAAGTAGTCATGGTGGTTGGAGTAACTCATTGCATTTAGACTCATTACTTTTAATGCATGCCCAGAGTGGCTCTTAGTGGCCTACTCTGTATCTTACTTGCCTGCTACACACACCCACACAGTTACGCACACAGCTACCCACACTATACACAAACACACACTGTTACACACACAATAACTGCTATCCACAGTATTACACACACCCTCATTACTAATACACAGACTGTTATTCATACCCAGACTGTTAGACACACTACTACCCACACCAACACTGATACAAACACACCCTGCTGCACAGACCTAACCAGGCCTATACACTCACACACAATCTACACACACAATCTACACACAGACACTTTATATGTGTTTGTTTTTGTGAATGCAGCCACTTTTTTTATCATTCTCACAGACCACCTGGTCACCCAGGAATTGTACCTGGTGTGTAGCCCTCCACTTCACCCAAAAGAGCCATAATTACAGTTACTTTACCTCCCAGCCGTGCCAGCCAACAGCACTCTTCCAAGCAGTCCTTGAGGGCATCATACAGCCACAGAAAGGCATCTGACCGAGGGCAACCTTCAATCGCTCTGGAACACGGATCAGACGTGGTCTGCTAAAACATTAACCAGAGTTTTCTCGGCCCTACCACCTAGCAGGACGCTTTTTGGAGGGATGGTAGGGGAGAGGGGATGTGGCATCGAACGATACCCTGGACTTGGAGTAATTACAAGGATACATGGAAAGCACTGCTGTTTTAGGTGACCAGGAATTTCCACCCAGTGCCATGGAACTCGGCGTCGAAACGGAGGCTAACCGTGACCTGCTAAAATTTTGACTTCCACCTAAATAGGATACCCACATCCGAGCCGGGCGCATTTTGGACAAAGTGGGCGCTCTGACACCAGCTTCCTGAGGACACTGGTTCTGTGGGAATCTGGGCACGGGAACCACAGTTATTACCTGTTTTGTTAAATTGGTGCCAAGGTGTCTGGCTACTAATTAAATTATCTGTTTAGGCATAGACACCAAGTCATTGGGGATGTCGCACATTCCTTTGTTCTCCCTGTGGACTTCCTGTTGAGACCCCAGGTATAAAACTGTGACCAATTCTACCTCCTGCATTAAGACTAACCTAAAGCATGGGGGCACCAGGCTCTATCTGGAAGCTATAATCACTGAAGCCACACTGGGAGCTATAAAGGGAATCGTTGGCAGCAATATCCTAGTGGTCTACCGTAATCATATGTAAACAATCATGTTTTTTCATCATATTTTTTAAGGGGTTGTTTTTGTGCTTAGAGGTGCCCTTGATATAAATCTAGTGCTGGCTGATAGGCTGTATGTGGTGTTCTGTTTGTGAAGAGTCCGTTGAGTAGACCCAAGAGACCCCTGACCTAAGGGAATTATGAGCTCTGAGCCTTAATTGCTGGTGGTTCTTCAGGTCTAGCAGTAAGTCACAGATAATGAAATTCAGAACTCTATAGCATCACATATGGTATAGAAGCAACTCAGACAGCTGTTTAGAGTGCCAGCAAGCCCTTGTCTCTAGATTAGATTTGATTCCTGGATTGTTTGTTTATGGAAGATTTAATATGGAAGTTTTGTATAACTATGTCATAGCACAAAGTAAATATCATGGATAACACAGACACTCAATACATTTGTTTATGGTTAAATTGCAGAACAGCCCCCACCCCTTGTACTACAACGAGAGATTTAACGCACTGTCATTGACGAACAGTGGAAATTCAAAGATGAAAATCTCCATTGCGTGATTGTTAATGGAATGCCAATTTTATGAAGATTAGCATGTATCTAAAGGGGAAAACTAAGTAGGGAATATAAATTTAAGAGTTCTTTTTAAACATTTTTAATAGGCATGTGCATGGGCAAAATTTTCGGTTCGGTTCGGCATTCCAAAATTCAGTATTTTCGCAATTCGGGACTTCGGCAGTTCGGCACTTCAACACTTCGGAACTTTGTCAACTTCGACACTTCGGAAATTCGGCAACTTCGGCATTTCGGCACTTTGGAACTTCTATTGCAGCCGCTTAGTAGATAACTCCCTAATTCCCACGGTATTTTGTCTTTCAGCCAAATTTACTATACAGCGAGTAGGGACATGTCTAGTAAACAGTGAGCAGCCTGTGGCTGCTCACTGTTTAAAAAATAAATACAAATTTTGCCCCTCCGGCCCCCACCGCTCAGGGGGGCCCTAAATACTAATAAGGGGGGGGACCTAATGTCCTCCCCCCTGGCCCCCACCCCTGAGCGGTGGGTGGGGGCCCTAAATACTAATAAGGGGGGGACCTAATGTCCTCCCCCTGGCTAGGGCCGGACTGGGAATTAAAAGCAGCGCTGGAAAAAAAAATATTTACCAGCCCCATAATGCGTCGCGCCAGCATAGTGTGCAGATACAGAGTTAGAACAGATAACTTAAAATTAAAAAGTACTTCAATGTAAAAAGCGCACTCATAGGCTTCAAAATAAACAAAAGTGCAGATTTATTTTAAGCAGACGTGCCTTTGCATGTAATCAATGTTTCAGTCCAACTACCTTGACATATTAAGGAAAGCTTGTTAATGGGACTAAAATGGTGAATGTATGTAGGGCATAACTGTAAAAAATGTTTATTTTGAAGTCCTGTGGGTGTGCTCTTCACTTTAAATGTTATTGAGCTGGAGTATGCACCTAGCAACAAGACTGGGCCAATATCTGCTCATTACATATGGTACATATTAATGACATTTCTCTGTTTATTATGCATATATAAATGTACATTAATATGTGTAAATATAATAGGCATAATTATATATTTATATATATATATATATATATATATATATAAATATATATATAACTAATACACACATTAATATACATGTCATTTACCAGTGGCGGATCCAGAGCCTGAGCCCGGGAGGGGCACTTGTAGACTCCAGGTGACAACTTACCTGGAGTCTGCTGGGATATGGGGCTGTAGTAGGGTATAGGAGCAGTGGTGCAATGTGTGAGGGGTGCAATGTGTGTGAAAGGTTCAGTGTGTGGGTGTGGGGGGGCAGTGTGTGAATGTGTATCGTGTGTGTGGGAGCAGTGTGTGAATGTGTATGGTGTGTGTGTGGGGGGGTGCAGTGTGTGTATGGGGCTAGAGTTCACTCTCACTACTGCGACCACCAGGAAGTGGTGAGAGTGAACTCTAGCCCGTAGCTCCGGGGCTAGAGTTCACCCTCGTGAGAGCTGGAACGTTGCCCCGGGTCCTCTCTTCATCCCCCCTTTCCCTGTGTCTCTTCCTCCCCCCTTTCCCTGTGTCTCTCCCTCCTCCACGTCTCTCTTTCTCCCCCCTTTCCCTGTGTCTCTCCCTCCTCCACATCTCTTTTCCCCTCTGTCTCTCCCTCCTCCCTCCACCATCTCTCTATTCTCCTCTCTGTTTTATTCCCCCCCCCCCTTTACCTAGAGAAGTCAGGGGGGTCGGCCGCGTTCCAGGGCCGGGTGGCAGCTTCGCCGGTCCGGTGGCACTCCTGTCACTGCTGTTGCTGATGGCTGAAGGAGGAGGAGCATGTCTACCATGCTCCCTCGCAGTTCCCACAATTCCCAGCACAGGAGACATGCTCCTCCTCCTTCAGCTATCAGCATCATCAGTGACAGGAGTGCCGACGGACCGGCGAAGCATGCCACCCGGCCCGGCGGCTCCAGCCTGGAACGCGGCCGTCCCCCTCTGAGTGTGCCACCGGACTGGCCACCTGGTGGCACCTATGTGCGCAGCTCCCAGGTGCCGTGGCCCATCGGGAAATTTCCCGGTATCCCGGTGGGCCAGTCCGGCCCTGCCCCTGGCCCCACCCCTGAGTGGCGGGTGGGGGCCCTAAATTGGAATAAGGGGGAGACCTAATGTCCTCCCCCTGGCCCCCACCCGTGAGCGGTGGGTGGGGGCCCTAAATACTAATAAGGGGGGGACCTAATGTGCTCCCCCCTGGCTCCCACCCCTGAGCGGCAGGTGGGGGCCCTAAATACTAATAAGGGGGGGACCAAAGGTCCCCCCCCGGCCCCCATCCCTGAGCGGCGGGTGGGGACCCTAAATACCAATGGGGGAACCTATTGTCCTCCCCCCCAGCCCCCACCCCTGAGCGGCGGGAGGGGGCCCTAAAAAAAAAAGTCCCCCCCATGTGGCTAGGGGTCCCCAAACCCCTAGTCACCCCCTCCCCCCCTAAAAAAATTATCCCCTTACCTATCCCCCATACCCTAAAAATAATGAGGGGGGACCTTTAACTAAGTACCTGTATTTGCACTGTGTGGAGTTGTATCGTGTTTTATTATTATTATTATTATGATATTATTATGATATTTATAGAGCGCCATCAAATTCCGCAGCGCTTTACAATGGGTGGACGAAAAGACATGTAGTTGTAACCAGACAAGTTGGACACACAGGAACAGAGGGGTTGAGGGCCCTGCTCATTGGGGTAAAATGACACAAAAAGGTAAGGATAGTATTAGACGAGTGTTTTGTCTCAACACAATCATTTTGGTGCCTACTCATAGCATCGACACAGAAGCATTAAAATAAACAGGAATTATAAATATTTTTGTGCCAATTAGCATTCACATGGTCTAGTGCTGTTGATTCCTAAACAGGACAAACATTTGTTTTATTCTGTTTTGGTTTTGGGGATTTTACTTGTGTTTTTTTTAAATAAATGTGAATGCCATTTTTTTTAGTTATCTTCTATCAAAATATGAGGAATGGGAAATATTGTCTTCATTAAAGTTGCAAACAAAATTGTCAGGAGTTGGTGTCCATGTACTGGAGTTAAGAAGACAAGTGATAAACCGCATTCATAGTCAAAGAAGCAAAATAATATTTGGATCGGTCAAAAAAGATCTATCAGAAAGTGTTAAAAATTGCTTCTTACACAGTAAGCACACGCACGTTTTCCAGTCAAAGCCCATATACTAACCAATCACAGCACTGAGAGGCATATTTAAACCCTTTTCTCAGAGCCCTGTCGTAGTTTCCACTTGTGGTTGTCAGAGAGCGCGTTCTTGGTATATTTTTCTGGTTATTGACTTTGGCTATTGTTTTTGACTTTCCCTTCTTCTGGTATTCTGACCCTTGGCTAGTTATTCGTATTGTCTCATTCTGTATCCCCGACCGTGGCTTGTTCTTACATCAGTCCGGCCATTCTAAGGTCTGGTATACGTTGTTTGTGTTAATATAGTTCTGCGTGTTGGGTCACACAGTAATCGTGAGAGTTACCAGATGATTAAGCTAACAGGTGTGGCAATGGATCTGGTTTTGCTAATGAATAATATAGAAGGAATACCTTGGTACAGCAGGGTATGGAAGGATGCTAGCGTTCAATTCGATACGGAGCCAACTACAGTGGTGTTTGTTGATTTGTTTCTTTAAAATGGATTTGTAAATATGACAACATGATCCAAAAATTGACAAAGGCTATATTCCATCTAATCTTTTATTTAAAATGATAATGATAAATTGATGACAGTTTTTCTTTAAGGAGGTAAGTTATGCACAAATGTAGCCATCATTTCTCTATTAAACACCCCTCAGGACATTGCGTGAGAATGTTTGATATTCCTTAGGAACTATGGAATAGTTCTATTCCCACAAGTGATGACACAATATTTCCATAACATTGTAATCAGACCTATCTGATGTTTATCATTACACAGGAAGGTTAGATGTCACCTGTTGATGATTGATCACATATTCCTTCTCCAGAAGTTAACACCTTCTTAAAAAAATATATATATAAAATAATTACTGGCAATATTGACATTCAATGGTTCACCCACCATCTCATGTTGCAAAAGAACGTTCGACATCTAAAATTGCTGAGCTTAATGGGAGTTGAGCCCTAACAACAGATGGTGGTCTACAAGCAGAATTTACAGTCTCATAATGAAGTAGAAGATGACTCATACACGATACACGTAAACAGTCTTTGACTTGTAATGCCACCTCCTCTGGACCCCCAGCTCTGGCTGTGCCTCTCTCGGTGACCCTGCTTTTCTCCTCCTCTTGGCTCTGTGACATCTTTTAAACACATAATTGGAATTCCGCTCTGCTACACACCTCCCTTCTTCTATTTTCCATTCCTACAGACCCTTTTTTTAACATAATGCCTCAAAAACAAAATATGTTCTGACCAGAGAGGCATGTTGCAACCAGAGGTTTCTTCACAAAAGAGTTGCACGGATTTTGTAGATGACTTGCACAGTGTCTCTGAAATAGGTTATACCCAAGCGATTAAAGGCAAGTTGATTGCTTTGTTCAGCTTAGTTAAAATGAGGTCCAGCTATAAAAATAGGTCCTCTGCTATTACGCTATAGCAAGTCAATCACTTGTAAACCCAAGAAAGCAAGGCTGTCTGGAAAGCTGAATCTAAGCAAAAAAGAATGGTGTAGTCTTAGTCCCAAAATAATAATAAAAATTTGCCTATGGGTCCCCTACACAGCCTATCCATGAGGTTAGGAGTTAACAATTAGGGCTATGAGAAATGGAACACAATTTGTTGAAGGGAGGACCTTTCCTGTGGTTCTCTCTATGCCCCTCACCCATCAATAGAGGGTGTGTGGTTAAGAAAACTTGATTTGGTAGGCAGCCCAAGCCACTCCATCCCCTGGGGTTTGTGACGAAGAATGCAATCTGTTAATTAGTTATAGGAACATTCCCAGCCACATAGCAACTTAAGCTTATTTAAAGTTGTTATGGATGCAGGATTGCCCGGGGTGGGTGCTCTTCAGGGGTTAATTAGTTTTCCAGTGGTTCAATACCAAAGGGACACTGTTGGCACCCAGACTACTTCAGCTCATCAAAGTGGTCTGGGTGCAAACTCCCATCAACCTTAACCCTGCAGTGGTAAATATTGCAGTTTTTATAAACTGCAATAATTACCTCTGAGGGTTAACTCCTTAGTGGCTGTCTCCCAGACAGCCGCTAGAGGGACTTCCAGATTTGAAACAGACTTTTGGTTCGTTATCTGACGCTGGACATCCTCACATTCTGCATGAGGACCTCCAGCATCTGATTTTCCCCATAGGAAAGCATTGAATAATGCTTTTTTATGGGGAGATCCTAATGCGAGAGCAGCCATTGCCGCGCATGCGCATTGTCTCCCCCACTGACGTCCGCAGAGCGTGGGCGAAGCTGAGTCAGTGCCGAGGGACATTGGCGCTGGACCCAGGTAAGTGACTGAAGGGGTTATTAACCAATGTGGTGAGCACTCATAGAACTCAAGAATAAGCTAAATGTATTTATTTTAAGCAGCAAGCATAAGCCATAAAGTTTCAAGTCAATACCTGACTTTTCACAAAATGTCAAGATAATGGAAATTAAATATCGAATATATTCTATTGCACCTCTGCTTAAAATAAAATGTTGTTCTTATATTGTTAAAGAAACACGCCACTGAATACATCGTTTTCATTGGGGTACAGCAATAAACAGCTTGCAAAAGCTTGGTATCAAGAGATCCCTGAATTTTCCACTTCTTAATACGTGATTGAACAGTACTGAGTGCCATTTTCAAGGCTTTGGATATCTTTTTATATCCTTTTCCATCTTTAGTTCCATTACCTTGTTACGCAGGTCTTTTGGCAGTTCTTTTCTGCTCCCCATGGCTCAGTATCTAGCCTGCTCAGCGCATCCACGTGAGAACTAACAAACTCACTGGCTATTTATACACAGACACTAATTGCACTCTAAAAAGCCACAGGTGTGGGAAATTAACATTTAATTGTCATTTTAACCTGTGTGTGTCACCTTGTGTGCTGAAACAAGGCCAAACATTCAGGGGTATGTAAACTTTTGATCAGGGCCATTTGGGTCCTCATGCATACAGTCGTCTAAAAAGCTGGAAGTCCCTGTAGTGGCTGTCTGGTAGACAGCCACTACGGGAGGACTTAAAGGATCACTATAGGCACCCAGACGACTTCAGCTTAATGAAGTGGTCTGGGTGCCAGGTCTATCTAGGTTTAACCCTTTCTACTGTAAACATAGCAGTCTCAGAGAAACTGCTATGTTTACATATGGGTTAATCCAGTCTCTAGTGGCTGTCTCATTGACAGCCTCTAGAGGCGCTTCCGCACTTCTCACTGTGATTTTCACAGTGAGAAGACACCAGCGTCCATAGGAAAGCATTGAAAATGCTTTCCTATAGACCAGCTGAATGCGCACGCGGCTCTTGCCACGCATGCGCATTCAGCCGATGACGGCGACAAGGAGGAGGAGAGTTCCCCGAAAACAGGTAAGATTTAACCCCTTCCACCCTCTAGAGCCCGGCGGGAGGGGGGCCCTGAGGGTGGGGGGGACCTAAGACCCTATAGTGCCAGGAAAACGGGTATGTTTTCCTGGCACTATAGTGGTCATTTAACCCTGCAATGTAATTATTGCAGTTTAAAAACGGCAATAATTACACTTGCAGGGTTACGGGTGATGGGAGTTGGCACCCAGGCCAGTTTAATGGGCTGAATTGGTCTTGGTGCCTACAGTGTCCCTTTCATAGAATAGGAAGGTTTATTTTTCACATATAGGGCTAGGAGGGTCTTGTGTGGTGTAGGGGTGCCCAAGCAGGTTTGCTGAAATGGAGAGAAGTTTATCAGGCAAGGTGTATGGAGTGTTCTT